AAAACAAATACTCTATATTTTAAACAGGATGTTGATATCAAAGATAGAGTTTCACATGCAATATAGTATGCTATCCTGGAAAATGCGTAACACTTTAATCATGGCATATAGAAAGCTCCTTAAAAATAAGAGTAACTTGTGCAGATCCATACCTAACAATGTAATACACTATCCAAAGATTTATAACTTAAAAAGTATTTGAATGCTACAAAAGAAAGGTCAAATAATAGAACTATATAATAGACTAAATGATCCAGGACCAAAAGGACTTACAACAATTATTAGAATTAAACAAGCACAAGTTAAATACTGAGAACCATGCAATCTGCTTACCTGTGAATTATTAAATCATATATCAGGTAAAGATAACTTTGCACTTCAAGAAATGAAATTGGTCAAAGATATAGGAATAAGGTTTCAAAGTTAGAAATGGCAAGACATTTTCGAATAGAACAAAGGTAACTATCCAATCAAAGAGTATCTAGTATTAGATGAATATATGAAAGCCATACTATCACTTAGAAACAATAAGCTAATATACATGGATCAGCTAATTACCTACAAAACTAAAGAACTTAAAAAATGATAAATGATCCAACTAATCCAAAAGACCAGTAAGAGATCTATTCCAGAGTGGTATCTAGTAATAGAAAAGAATATACAAGAAAAAAGACCAGGACAGCTCACAAAATTTTGAAAAGAAGACTGGTCAAAATGAAATCCAATAATTACAAAGATAAATTCAGATCGTAATAGAAGACAAACACTCTGGGTAGTAACAAGTAATAGGTACCAAAAAATAATATAGGAAAAGCTAAGATCAGAAGATATCAAGCAAGTAGTACAAATAGAACACTTCAAGTGTACTAAGTTCCCATATGCTCAGGAGACCAGCCTAACAAAATGTTTAGAATGTGCAGAAGGTAAAAATGTGAAAAATCAATGTATAATAGAGACAAAAAAAAAATAGAACATATGAAGTCTCCTATCTAAATACAAGAAAATCCATAAGAAGAGCCCAGTAGTTAAATATTCCAAGTTTCAAAATAGTTTTAGAAAGAACTATAGAAAAAACAACCCAAGATGATTCCAAACCCAATCTGAACAGTAGAGTAAGTCAAATAGATATAGAGAATTAGTGAGAGCAGATTATTAGAGATAATATAAAAGAAGGAGTATATCAAGATCATCTAATTGAAATATTTCAACAGAATTAACAATTCAAAGAAACATTGATTTTTTACTCTGATGGATTTCTTATTGACCATAGATGTGAAAAAATAAAGATGGAAGTAGCATGGGTACAAGTAAGAAGAGAGGATAGAGAAAATAAGTTCCAAATAGAAGTAGGTGACTGACCATCATCTACTAGAGCCAAGCTAATAGCAATAGTCACAATATTACTAGTTGTTTCAATAAACAATAAGGTCAAGATTTTTATAGACAGTCAAGCCTATATTGTCAAGTGAAAAATAATAGAGAAAGAGAATTCTAAAAGAACTCACAAAAGATGGTTAAAGAAAAAGAACTGGTTCCTATAGGTAAGAATGTTGGAATTATTAAAAAAAAAGAATTGGATCTGAAACTGGTCAAAGTCAAAGTACACTCTAATAATCCTTACAATAAAGAAGTAGATACTCTAGCAAAGGAAGCCTTAATGCTTCCTGTGATTGAATGGAAGAATCTTACTTCATTTAAAATTATTACTGAAATCAAATGGCATGAAATGACTTTAGATAATCCTATATAACAGTTTATTAAAAATATAAATAACAAAGTTACAGCTCATCAATGGACTAAACAAAATAGAATTTCAAATAAATAGAATCAATATATTCAAGATCAATATGACTACACATGGGATTTGATATGGGAAAGGATAAAAAATAGACACATTTGAAACACTTTCTTTAAAGATTTTCAAGAAAGAAGCTTTCTTATCAAATTAATTAATGAAGAGTTACCAATGCTTTTCAAATTGGCCATAAGAAGACCAAATCTATATAAACAAGTAGAGTGTATAGTATGCAAACAACAAGTAGAAACAATAGAACACCTACTAAAATGTCCAACATATAAAGCCTAATGGCAGAAAATTTGGAACAAAAAAGCTGAAGGCATTCTAAAAGACTTTCAAAAACTTTTGCATGAGAAAAGAAAAGAGATGAAAAAGAAAAAACTAAGGCTTCTAGTTGAAGACAGAGTAGAATTAGAAGAATTAAACAAATATATAGCCAGACTTATAGAAGAAATTGCAGAAACAGGGCAGAATATACTAAACTTCTGCATGGGACCAATATGAAGTGATTAGATATTGAAAATGTCAAATCTAAGATATTGCCAAAAAAGAATAGGTAAAGAAGTCTGAAAGTGGATAGTAAAAATGCAAAAGAAGGTTTGCAATTAATTTTAAAAAAAGATTTGGAACAAAAGGTGTTCAAGTGAGAACAAGCAAAAAGGATCTATAAAAAAGACAAAATAAGAAGATTAGCCAGTCTATTAAACCAGAATAACAAAACCACAACTATGAAAAGGTCTGTACAGAAAGAAGAAAAACTTGAAGATAAAGGTTTGAAACAAACCTTTCTAGAAGGAGTAAAACATAGAATAAGATAGTTAGGGTTTTAACTTCTGTCAGAACTCATAAGGAGGATTTGCAGTAGTGATCTGCAGGCAATGAAATTAGTAGTTGGAAAAGTTTTCACCTGAGCTACTAATGGAGTGATTAATCACTTCTGAAGTTGTACTTCAAGTGATAATAATCAAGATGAGTGAGTTAATTAGAGATTTAGCTTTAGCAATTCATTTTACATGTATAGTATACTAATTTTTAATAAAGCACACATAATTAACTTGATAGAGGATAAAAAAAAAAAAAAAAAACAATTATGAATAGTTTTTTTATAATTATTAATTTAAAAATTTTAATATTTTCTAGTGAAGAATATTTGATTTGTATTCCTGTCTCTTCCTTTAGGAACTCATCTTTATCTATTACCCTGTAAAACAACAAAGTACCTTTTTAAGAATAGTACTAGTCAACCTTTTTTTTTAATAAAATTTTTGATTAAATACTAGTGAAGATTAAGGTTTCACATGAGAGATCTTCAATATCAGAGGTACTAGATACTTTAGATAAATTCTTGACACATTAGCTCCTTTTTGTTAGAAATAGTAATAAGCCACTTGGCTGACAAAGGTCTAGTAAAGTTTAAGATTCTAAGGAGTGTCTACATGTAAAATAAAAAACTAATATAGCTTATATATCATATTATTATCATTATTTTTATATTTTGTTTTTGTAGTAGTTAATCTATACTAGACAGTTATATAATTATTTTATTTTGATTAGATAAAACATAAATAATTAGCTCTTTATACTATTTGTTAATTTGTAAATCCTTAAACAGTATAGATAATTATTCATTCCAGTTGTTTCTATATTTTTTACTTATATTAATAAAATACATAACATATGAATATAAGAGTAAACTAGTTTCTTAAAAAAAATATATATATATATTTTTTAATAAGTTTCTCAAATAGTAAAAAGTTTTTTTATAAAAAAGTTAAGATTTTCAAGCTTTTATTTTGATTAAGAAAAGTTTTTGAAGAGGTTTTTTTTATTTTAATTAGACAAACTCTATTATATAATATTAATATCAATAATATAATATAATAAGTAAAATTATATATTCATAAAAGAATAGATTTTTCAAATATTTTTCTTAAAATTTTTCTACTTAGAAATAACTAAGTTTCTCAAATGATCTGAAGTTAGAGAATATTTTAATTAAGTAAATTTCTTTTGAAAGAAATTTATTTATTTAAATAAAAATCTTTTTAAAGTTTTTAAATTATTATTATTGTTTTTTTTTCTTCTTTTTTCAATGTCTTAATTTAATAATTCAATTTTTTTTAAATAATATATAGTAACAAATTATAGACAAAGATCTTAGTAAATAAAGATTCTAATATTAATCTATTAAAAAAGTAAATTATTGTTTTTTAAATCAGATTTAAAGTATTTAGTTAAGACTTTGTTTTGTTTAATATAAACTAGCTTAATGAACTTCTTATATTTTTTAAATAATACAATCCTTTAACTAATAATGTACAAAAACAAGTTAATCAACATATAAAAATCCATATAATATTGTAAACATTTTTTTTATATCATGCTCTAATAACATAGTTACTGATTAAAAAAAAAAAAGTTAAAAAAGTATTTACTCAAATTATGCTATAAATAAAGTAACAAATAATCCCTAAAGTTGTACTTGAAATCAAGTTTGGCAAAAACAAGTGAGTTATTTGTAAATTTAACTTTAGTGTCATATAAATATATATGTACAATCTACCTTTGTTTAATAAAGTAAACACAGCTAACCTGACAAAGGATTAACGAAAAAAATAAAATAAAATTATAATAGGCAGCGATTTTTTGACTTTAAAGATTTTCATATAATTTACACCATTACTCGAATTATAGTTTACTCTATTTTTATCAAAGACACAGTTATTAATAAGTAATTTCTTCCAAAAACTAAATAAATATCAAGTTTTCAAATTAAAAATCGCGTCGAATTAAAAATCATGTACATAAATATATCGATGTTGGATCGTATATTGTACAATTTTTTCAATTACCGCAAATAGAAATTAATTTACTTTTTTTGTAATTAATTTTCACATACTTTTCTATCAGACAAAAATTCTAAATGGCATTAATTTAAGTTCTTTAAAATGTTGATTAGCTGTTTTATTCCAACGGCCCTGTAAATTTAACACATGAATGCTAATAAGTAGAAAGTACAAGATTAAAAGTAAAAATTAATTTGAAGTCATTACCATTTTCCACATTCCTCCATTTTAGTAGTCATCAAATGCACCTGAATACCGAGTGCGTCTGAATAATTGCGTGACTCCAGGGCTGATTACATATAAATTAAGAGAATCATTAAAATATCCCATACGAAAGTTTTTTAAAAGAATATACATCATATAATTGAGATATAACCTTGAACCAATGTTGACAAAGAATCAATTATGCTGGACGACAGTTCTTCATTATTCAAAGCATCGAAGAGAATATTAATCCGCTTTTCAGTATCATCTATCAACCTTTTTTGTGCAGGCTGAAAACAAATTTTTGTTAATGTAAAATCTTCAAAATTGTAGAAATAAATGACTCGAGGAGTTATTTACGGGTGAATTATGTCGGGCCTTTAACAGCTCATTATTTAGTATATCATATATAGGTTTTTGTGAGACTGGAATGTGCGTTCTGTCGCCAGGAGCTACAATAAATAAAAAATTTAAAAATGCTACATCGGATATAAATGAAGTTGATAAAATTAAATAAGAAAATATTTACGATGTTTATCATCAATAGGTGTAGGTGTTTTCGCCGGAGTGGGTGTCCTGGCGGGCTGAATAACAGGGGAAGGCTGATTTGGCAAACCAACCTGTTGGGCAGCATGTGGTGGTGGGGGTAGCGGTGCAGAGTATCCTGCGTTAGCTGCGGAATATGGAACACTTGTCGGATGAACATATCCCGTACCGCCGGCTTGGTAACCAGTATTAACAGGCGGAGGGGGAGGCGTTGAACGTTCTGTTGTATACGGTTGTGAAGTTTGTGCGGGTCGTGGTGGAGGAGGGTAGAAAGCAGGTTGTGTTACCGTCTGAGGGGGCATACTCGGGTAGGTTGGCCCTCCTGCTCGATTCACTTGTGGTGGGGGTGGCAACATGGCATTGTTCCCCGGTAAATTTTGCGGAGGTTGCATGGCATTAGTTCCAGGTAAGTTTTGTTGAGTCGCTACAAAGTTTTGTGGGGGAGGATTGTATGCCCTCTGTTGCATCGGAGAGGAGGTTGGGAAAGGTGATGTGATCGGAGGTAGCTTATTCACCTTATTTTGAATGGGTTTCCTTACTGTTTGACCCGAAGGTACCAACGGAGGATCATTCCAATTCGATAAACCTTTTTTGAAAGCGGTTGGAGCTTCGGCTGCTGGTGGCGCATTTGAGTTTTGATAATTTTCGTTGGGTACAGGGAGTTGAGGAATCAATCCAGTATTATCTTGATATGGTTGATTATACCCAGGGAAATTCTGATACGGAAGGGGCGGTGCATATTGGTTGTAATTCGGGTGTTGGGGATGTGGGGGATGTTGAACATTTTGGATAGGTGGAATTTGGGGTTGATACGGAACATTAGGAACCACGGGCGGTTTATCATAAATATATTGATTATACACCTCTTGTGTTACATTAGGATCTATTTGGGATGCACTGTATGTAGTTCCTCCTGTGCCACTATTAGCAGTGGTCTGATCAATTTCATTATCGGCACCTACATAAGTTTCTGGAAATGGGAACAACGGTTCCTTGGTACTTCCAACATCAATACCAGAATGATATATGCGTTCCTTAATTATCGCTAATGAATCTTTACCATTAGGTGCAGTTCTATACCCTAATGGAGTCAAATTCAAATACTTGAGGGCGGTGTTCAATTGACCTTGGGAGGCAAGAAATTCCGCGTATTCAGTGTATTTATCATAAAGTGCAGCTAATTTGTACTGTTCATTAATTTCTTCGTTGTTTGTGGAATCCAAATTTTGCACAGTCGTAGAATCAACATAATCAATAGCTTTACGGAAGATGGTTATTTTCTCGATTAAACTTTGAAGTGTTCTTGCTCTGAAAGAGTACCTCGAACCAGCAGAATCTTCCAGTTCAAATTCATCTCTTTCTTGTTCTTCCTGTTCAGCAATCCAAATGTTTACAACATTTTCCAAATTTCCGGCAGCAAGATAACACAATACGGCATTTTTCCTGTATTCCAAGGCCTTTGTTCCAGATTCCATTGTCAAATTGTGTTCGATTAATTTCTTATATTCTTGCTCTAGCCTCTGACCTAGAGAATTACATAGTCCTCCAAATTCTTCAGAACGTGCAAATGTGCAAAGAACTACTACAATTTCTTGCCATTCAGATAAATCTGCGTTAAACACAATGTCTGATAAGTCATCAGAAACAACACTTTGTAGGAGGCGCAAATAAGGAACTGTGGATGCTCTTCTTTCGAAATAAGCTTTTCGGGTACGCTGCAGAAGTTCAGGTCCACCACAACCTGCCAACAAAACCGCATCTGAAAGTCTATCTGTCTCTAAACATAAGTTGACAGCAGCTTCAAAATCACCAAGCACAATCGATCTTGTGATCAGTTTGTCAACCTCTGATTCTTGTTCAGGATAAAACTTGAAGGCTTTGAGGTTGCTAACATCAAATGATGATTCGTTCTTTATAGGAAATGCATCGGGAATGACTTCTGAAGTAAAGAAATTAGAAGCATCGGATGCCTCTCCGGAAATATTTGGACCAGAGAAAAGCTCATCTACACTTTCCGACCTTTCCGAAGGCAAATCCGCAACACCATTTTCACTTTCTTGAATAATGTCATTATTGACTGTAGATGATGGAACGCTGGTATCATTTTCATGTTGCTGTGTTGTATCTTGCAAATCTATTGGTTCTGAAGTAATTTGATCCACGTTCGATGTTTCATTTAAGTTCATTGCATTTATCGCAGCTGAAATCTGTGAAAAAACGTCTGCTTTTGAAAATCCAAGATGCTTAACCAATTGTTCTCGTGCGTTTTCGTTTTCATTAAACATAGTATGGAGAACTTTCCAATTCTCCGATTCGAATTCATCAACCGCTTGCTTTTCTCGATTTTCGCAAAAACCACCAAGTGATTTTTCTTCAATAGCAGATTCCAGTTCAGTAGACCTTTGTATAACTTCTGGTTCTGAAACTATACTGTACATTGATACAACACGTTTATTGGTGGAAGCAGCATCGGTAGATGGTAACTTATTGCGGAATGTAACCAGTTTACCACCAAAGCCGAAGCTTGCTCCCACCGGCCTTCTAAGCCATTTGGGTGGTTGTTTTAATGAAAATGACGGCTCATATACAGAAGTGATTGGTGCAAAAGGATCATTAATGTCTGATATATCCCTCTGTTCGACATGGTGACCTTGGCTAGATTGTAGAGAATGAACACTAATCTTTAAGGCATTTAAAAAGACCATGAATTAGTGCTATATTGGTATATAACTGATTAAAAAATATATATATAATAAATACCTTTCCATCAAAGGATGCGGAAGCAAATAAGTCCGGATTTCCCGGATACCATTGTACATCAAAGGCCCAATTCAAACTTGGGGGAAGCTAAATGATATCATGTTTATCATTAATGTTTATATATACGAATATTTGGGCTTTTCGTTCATATATAATACCTCTCCTATTATTTCTCCAGTTCCGGGGTTCCAACAAAGGGTTCGATTATCTTTTCCACAAGACAGCAACAAGCCTGCGTCTTTCTGACACCAAGAAAGGGACAAAATGCCTTTTTGATGTCCCGTTAAAACCTGGTTCAAAATACAATTTAGATAAATTACGACATCTAATTTATGATTCACAAATTTGTAATAATACTTTTTCTGGTGCTTGAGCATGACGAAGATCCCACATTACGATCACCGGATTATTGTCATCTTCTGATGCAGTTATTATTTGAGTTGCCTTTAAAAATTTTTTCAAAACTAAATTAGTATAGGAAATTAATGGTAAAATATTGAGAGAAAATGTAAACTCACTATATCGGGGTTCCATGCGACTGCAGTAACCCCCCTTCTGCCACTCGCCCCTGAAATATTTATAGAGCCCATGCCATAACCACTTGTTAAGGAACCTGAAGGGCCTGCGTATGATAAATTCACCAGCTCACGCTTAGATTTCAAATCCCATATTACGGTATAACCTGAGGTCGAAGAAGTCGCCAAAATATGTTGTACTTGATTATTCCAGGACAAATGCGTTATTTCCTCCATCTTTAACGACCTTGTTCCTGGCGTATAGGGTTTATCAGGGTTGGACAGATCCCAGATAAATATCTGCATTCAATAATATTCGACTTTAGTTATAATTTATGTCTTAATATTTCAAAGCAAAAAATTTCACCTCTCCATTCGTCGCAGCGGATGCCAACAAATTGTTTTGAAAAGGATTAAATTGTAGCCCGCGAACATTCCCGGAGTGTGTTGTATTGTTCAGGACTAAGGCTTTTTCGGCACTAAGAATTAAAATAATAAGAATGATAAAATTACAAATCTTCCATAATACGGAATTATTTGTTAAACAAATTTTCGTGGTCGCACAAACTCCAATAAACACTATATCGTTACTCACTCGTCACCCTCCAGAATAATCGAGGGATCCCATAAATTCAACTCTCCGTTCTCCATTCCACCAGCAATAAGTCCATGTGACTTATCATTTGCAATTCCCCAAACGAGGCGATTGAATCTGTTTTATTTACAGTATCATTAGATATTTAGCGTCGATCAACGCAAATGAATCCTGAATAAGAAAAATCTAAAAACCTTGCATTACTGCTAACTGCCCCAGCGGGTTGCGATTCCAAGGCAGTCTCTGGCTTATATGATTTTAAAGAAAACAATTCTAGTTGTGTAGTATTCGAGAATGAGGCGTCAAGGGCACCCGCAACGGTACCCGTTGCGATGATAGGTAACTGTTGTCCAGGGCTCCACGCAAAAGTCGCCGTACGAGGAATATCTTTGAGTTTCATTGTGGATTATGGATGAGTTTTAATAAACACGAAGCAAGATGCGCCGATATATATATATGTGTATATTACGTGGCAAAAATGAATTAGTCGAAAAAAGTTTTTTTTTGAATTTTCTACTAATTCTGGCTGAATTTTTTTATTGCCCGTACCAAAAAAAAATTTTTTCTACCAGTTGAATTATCGATACGTATGATCTGCATGCATAATTAACCAAGATAACCAAGATAATTATTTTTTTTTTTGTGAATAAGTTTATTAATCAAATGTACAGTACATATTCATTCGAGCAGCATGGATACATACTACAGCTATAAATTGATTATTTTATAAAATATTCTACTATTTTTTTCTATTATTGTATATAAAGATTTATTACTCTTATTTTGATCTTATTTTTTTATTATTAGATTGAATATTATAAATAGTTTATTATGGGTTAACTTATTCAAAAGAATTTTTATATTATATTTCATAAATACTGTAATTATAATATTTTACTATTTAGAAACTTTACTTTTTTTTTTTTTTTTTTAAAACCCTCTGTCAGGTTAGGTATATGTACTTTATTAAATATATATATATACTTTATATTAGAAAATGCATCGCTAAAGTTAAGTCTCTATCTAATTCACTCATCTCTATTTAAAAGAATTATTAAAACTCTAAGTGCAACTTCAAGAATGATTTATTGCTTCATTAGTAATTCAGGTAAAAACCCTTCCAATTGTTAACTTCATTACCTGCAGATCGCTATTGCAGATCACCCTATAAGATTTTGACAGAGTTTAAAACTCAATCATTTCATTTTATATTTTACTCTTCTTGTTAAAATTTCTCAGAAATTTTTATCTTTGAGGTTTTCTTTTTTAAGTAATGAATCTTTTTTCTTCAAAAATATAGTTTTTTGGCTTGAAATATATGGAGGTCTTTTTGTCTTGTTCTTTCTATTAATTCCTTGTGTTTTTTCTCACTTAATTATCTTTTCGCATATCTTGTTTTAGACTTATTTTTGGACTTGATTACAGACTTTTCTTTGTATTTTTATTATTCACTTTCTTGCTATTCTTCCTATACGTTTATCTTAACATTTTAGATTTGCTATTTTTAGAATAATATTTGTTCTTATAAGACTAATACAAAAACTTAGTATATCTTGGCTAGTTTTAGAAACCTGTTTTACTATTTTAGAGGTCTACTTATTAAACTTTCCTATTTCTTCTCAATCATCAATGATTAATCTGAGATTTTTCTCTTTAGCTTTTCTCTTTTTTTTCCTTAGTAGCTCTTTAAAATTTCTAATGATTTCATCTACTTCTTTATTCCATACCTCTTTTAATTGATTCTTATAGGTTGAACATTTTAACAAGTGTTCTATAGTTTTGTCTTGTTGACTATATATAATGATGGGTCCCTAAAATATTTAACATATAAAATTTTACAAATTACTTATGTCTCTTTTTGAGGGACAAAATTCATAGCTTTTCACTTTAATAGGAACAAAAGTTAGGAAATACTATAAATCAATAATTTGAATAATAGAGAACAATTGTAAATAGTTTTTTTATAATTATTAATTTAAAAATTTTAATGTTTCCTAGTGAGGGATATTTGAATTTTTTTCTTACCTCTTCCTTTAGGAACCTATCTTTAACTATATGCAATATATCTCACTTGCTTGTATAGATTCAGTCTTCTTATAATCAACTTACTTAGAGTAGGTAGCTCATTATTAACCAGTTTAATAAGAAAACTTCTTTGTTGGGATTGTTTAAAAAATGTATCTCATATGTATCCATCTTTAATTCTTTTCTATAATACCATAAACTATTGCATACAATACTCCAGGTATTAATCAATTTACCCTATAATAAATTGATTTGTACCTGGAAAGGTATTCTACTAGAAGGGGTGTAGTATAAATAACAGGATATTTAATATCTTATTATCATCTGACGTATCTCTTACTTGCCCATTCATATTGCAATTTTATTGACTCTAGCTTAATATACCCAGGTAGTAATCATTTATTGAGTAACAATTTTCTTGAATACTACTGGATATTATTTAAGGAGGGGTATTACTTTAGGAGAGATATTGTATACAGTGATTTACGATAAATTCCATGTATAAGCCTGATATTCTGAAATCTGCTGACTTCATTTTTTCTCCATTATATTTTGTTGTGTCTACTGATAGATTATTGTTTTATTATTAATGCATTAGAAAATTTTTTTGACAAAGATCTTTGGAGATTTTTGGGTATAAAACTCTGGAGACACTTCATAATCATTAGAAGTCTCTGGAGTGGTGATTTATATATAGAACTCTGGAGATTTTTGAATGTTTTAAATTATAATAAAATAATTTTACATTATTTTATTTTATTTTATTTTTTAACTTTTTGTCAGGTTAGTTAAGTGTGCTTTATTAACCATTTGTAAGCTGTACATATTAAATGAAACGTTAAAGCTAAATCTCTAACTAACTCACTTATTTTGATTGTATTACCTTTCTAAGTGCAACTTTAGAAGTGATTTATTGCTCCGTTAGAGGTTCAGGTGAAGACCCTTTCAACTTCTAACATCATTGCCCACAGGTTATCACTGCAGATCACTCTTTTGAGCTCTAACAGAGATCAAAACCCCAATCACTTTATACCATACTTCACTCCATTTAATAGGATTTCTTTCAACTTCTTGTCTTTGACTTTTTTTTCTTCATATATCAATTTCTTACTGGATCGACTTTCAGTAATTTTATCTATCTTTTCATGATTATGTGGATATAACGGTCTTGTTTTCTTGTTATATTTGCAGATTCCTAACTTCTGTTTCCATTCAATCACCTTTTCACATCTTGCATTCTATATTTTCTTTTGAAAGTTATTATGTACTTTTTCTTGTATCTTTGTTATCCATTTTCTAGCTTCTTTTCCAATTATCTTGACATAACATGTCAAATCTGCTATATTGATAACTAGTTCTTCCTCTATTAGTCCCATACAGAAGCTAAGTGTGTTCTAACTGATTTTTGAGCTTTTTTCTACCAGTTTTGCCATCTGTTTGTCGATTTCTCATATTTTTATTCTATTATTTATTCTCAAGCTTAGCTCTTTCTCTTCTGATTCAATTTTCCTTTCTTTTAAGAGCTTTCTGAATTCTTTCAAGACTCCTTTTATTCCTTTCTGCCATGCCTCATTCTATTGAGTCTTGTAAGTTATGCATTCTAGCAAGTGTTCTGTCATTTTCTCTTCCTGACAATACGCAATATATTTCACTTGCTTGTAAAGATCTGGTTTTCTTATGGCCAACTTCGTAAGTGTTGATAGCTTATCATTGATTAGTTTAGTGAGAAAACTTTGCTTTTAAATGAGGTGTTCCATGTGTGTCCCTTATTAAAGTGTTCCCATATAAGATCCCGCGTGTATTTGTGATGGACTTGGATTTGTTGATCCCATCTTCTTTCAATTCTACCTTGTGTAGTCTATTGATAGGCTGTTACTTTGTTATTAATTTTTTTAATAGTTTGTCTTATTGGGGTATCTAGCACTATATTTTGCCATTTAATTTTTGTAATCATTTTGGACAAGACCAATTTTTTTTATTTTATTACTGGAAATCTTAGTGCTTCTTTGAATAGAACATCTGCCTCTTCGTTATACTGGATATTGGAGTGTATTTTGACCTTGGTAAGCTTGAGATCCAGCTTTTTTTTCTTTACGAGATCTAGCATATGTGTTCACAGGGACCAGTTTTGTTCTTTTAATTATCTTTTGTGGGTCATTTTAGGATTCTCCTTTTCTATAGTTTTCCACCTCGAGTTGCAGGCTTGGCTGTCTGTAAAGATTTCGATCTTGCTATCTACTGGAGCTACTAGTAGTATAGTAACTATCGCTACTAGTTCTGCTCTAGTGGATGAAGGCCAATTCTTTACTCCAGTTTGAAATTTGCTTTCTCTTCTTGCTTCTCCTATCTGTATTCATGCTGCTCCTATTTTCATATTTGTACTTCCATAGTTAATGAGGAACCCATTGGAATAGAATGTTATTGGTTCTTTTCTTTACTTGTTGTGATTGAGTATTTCGATCAGATGGGATTGATAGGTACCTTCTTCAACATGATCTTTGATAATATTTGTTTCCCAATCCTCTATCTTTACTTGTAATACTCTTTCGTTCTGGATAGTTACTTGGTTACTGTATATTTTTCTACCTATCATACCTTCCAATGCTTCTCTTGAACTTGGAATTTCTAGTAATTGGAATCTTTTGATGGACTATTTTGCATTGAGATAGGGGACCATATGTATTTTTCCTATACTTGTTTCGATTATACATCGGTCTTCTATCTTTGTACCTTCTATGCAATCTTAACATTGAGTTAGCTTTGATTCTCAGTTTTTAATAGGGCTGATACATTCGAAATGTTCTATCTTTAACTGTTTTGAAGTATTAT